TCATTCACAAGATTAGCATTGTATAGGCATAGCATATCCTTTTTTACTGCGACATTTTCCACAGCTGGAGGTAAGTCACTCAAATAGTTGTGAGTCTTTAGGGGGAAATGGGAATTAATCATTAAGTAGAATCTGCGTGATGCATCTGCTCCAGTCTTGAGAATCATTTCGAGATATTTCTTTTGCATTTTAGAATTATTCTTTAGATATTCTCGACTAGCAACCCACTTATAATTTCCAATTGGAAGAAATTGGCTAATAGCCCAACCATAAAGATTATTCGCATCAACATAAGAGATTCATGTTGTAGGTTGGGATGGATCGAATTCATCTCCCATATTAGGATTATTTGCCTTGAAATGTCTATGTACTACCATAGCAATACCACCACGCTTTGCCTTTTCAATAAAGTCATGCATTGCCATTTCTGTAAATAGCTCAATCTTGACCTTGGTCATCTTAAGCATAGCATCCCAAGATAGAGAAGGTGCGGATACATAATGGCTGGGATCAAGGCCATAATGACGTATAGATGTCTTTCTAAATGTTGTCCAGACATCTGCTAGACTAAGCACGTCTATCTTAAGATAGAGATCATTATATTCTCCCAAGTTTTTGCATCCGAATTCCTTCCATACCTTCTAGGCATGCTCATAATCCTCTTGAGAAATCTTACCTCCAAGGACACTATGAAATTCTTGAATCAGAGGTAGTTCTGTTTCCTTAAATCGGTCATGAGAAATAATATACTCATGAGGAAAGATCCCTTTGTGATATGCTAGGGAAATCTGTTTAGAGGAATAGCCTTGCTTCTTGAAATACTCAGTTGTAATTGGGTGGTCATCACCCAAATTCTTTGTAAGGGTGGCTAAGCTAGAATTCATAAATTGCATACTATCAATATACTTAAGCTGACCTACCTTCATAGATTTGTAATGTTCAAAGGTTTCAGCAATGACTGAGATTCGAAGAGAATTACCCGAACATCTGACAGATTTACAGACCAAGTGAAAGTCATATCCCCTGAAGTTGTGAAAGATAACTGGAATTGGTATCTTTTATGACTCAATTTGAAGTTTAAGATTACATAAATTGTGAGACGCTCCTCGGAACTCACCTGTGATATGACAGTGATCCCAGACCTTTTTATCCCTAGCTTCTTCTCTAGCTAATTTAGCTTGGACTTTACTTAAAGCAGTGTTTAGGGATTTATAGTCTTCAGGATTCTTAACAGCCTTTAGAAATTCTGTATAAAGATTTTTGAGATCCTTTTCCATGCGTAGTAATTGGGATCCATTTTTTATCTTTTCTGATTCAATATTCTTTTCTAACTCCCAAATCTTTCTTGATATTTCTCTAGGTGAAAATACTTTTGTATCTTCAGGAAGCTTTTCTTTATTATAAGATATAGGATCCTGAACAATTTCTGTAAGCTTGGCAGTAAGTTTTGCAATCTT